ATCGCAAATTTTAAAGAAGAATAAACATTGATCTGGTGCAGAAAACGGTTTTAAATAGAACAATTAGTTTCGGTGTAATAAGTAAAATTGTCATATTATAATTTAGGATTTTATTGTTGAACGAAATAAAGAACAAAAAAAACGTTAAATAAGTTACATATTGCTAATAAATTGTGCAAACTCTTACAGCAAAATATTTTTTATCATACAATTATTACGCTTTACATTTAATTTTAAATATTCTTATTTAATATTTAATTGCTGTTCTTAGAAAGGTTTTTTTTTCTTTTGTATGAAATGACGTTTTTAGGAAATATGATATTTTTTTAACTGTTATGAGTTTTTAATAGTTATTAATGATTATTAATCTAGCCAGCGCCCTCTATGCTGATAATTAAAACAGAACAAAACGTTAAAATGAAGAAAAGTCCCAATTTTATGAAAATACCTTTGTAAGTTAATTGGGCTCGTAAAAATATACAAAAATTATGAAAGATTAATTTATTTTAGTAATTTTCATCAAAAAGGATGAAAGCTTCAAAAAATAACTTTAATAAAATTATTAAAATTGGGTCGACTGTTCAACGGCGGTCATAAAATAAAATAAAAAAAAAATAAAATTATTAGTTTTCTGCGAAAAAAATTTTTTAACAAGGCAATTTTTTAAAACAAAATAATTATTGCGAGAAATTTAATCATTTTAATCAAAGAATTAGTTCTCAATCTTTGCATTGAAATAACTTTTTTAGGGTTGGAATAACTTTCTTTGGTGATGGTATAACTTTTACAATAATTTTTTACAATAATTTTACAATAATTATGAATAACTCAACTCTTTTTAAGCTTTGGAATAACTTTTTCAGTTTTAAAATAACTTTCATTTAGCGTTGGAACAACGTTTGGAATAAATTCCTTTAGCGTTATTATTACTTTTATTTAACGTTGAATAACGCTTTTTTAGCGTTGAAATAACTTTTATCAGAACTGAATAACGCTTTTTAGCGTGGAAATAACTTTCTTAGCGTTAGAACTTTTCAAATAACAAAAAAATAGACCACAAGAACTTTTATTTTCCAAATACTCAGGCTTTTATTTTGCACCATTCTCACGAGACGGCATATATGATGTTATCTAGATCAGTCATAGATAACTAATGAGAAAAATGAGAATTTTAAAAAAAAACTATGTTCGCTAAAAAAAAATACACTTTTATAAGATGGCAGATCCTACGAAGAATAGCCCAGCCTAAAACATTGGAGAAATATACTATTTCAATTTAAATATTTATAAATTATTAAGTTCTGTTAAAAAGCGTAACACAGGCAATTCAAATTAAATTTACCTAGTTTTCCTTTTTTTTAATTCAATTTTTTGAGCGTGTATATTAAATGTAAAAAATAAACAACCATTAATAGCCAACAGATAAAAGTGAGTTGCTACAAAAATTCAAAAGACTGGAAATTTGTCTTTAAACTAATACTTTAATTAAGACCTTCTTTGTCAAAACTTTCAATACCAACATATGAATTTGCCCATTAAAACTCACTAATTACAAAGAAATTCTTTTTTAAAACGAGTACCCGATTTTAAGAAGACAAAAAGTTTTCTCATTTGTAAAAATTAGAATATTATCCAATAAATAACTTAATTTTTAAATAAGAATAAATTTCCAATTCAACTATTAAATATTAAATTATTTCAAAACAATACACATCTTTGTATTTTTTAATAAATTGTTAAACAAAATTTAAAAGAAAAAAAGATTACGCGCATAACGATTATACACATTTCTAAGTACAAAATATTAATTGATGTTTCATCGAAAGAATTTGTAGTATGAGAATATTTTTAGCTTTTAAACAACATTTTTATCTTTAAAATAACTTTCTTTCAGAGTCGGAATAACTAATTTTTTAGCTTTATAATAAAAAAAAATTAGCGTTGAATGATGCTTTTTAGCGTTGAATGACGCTTTTTAGCATGAGAATAACTTTTTTGGCGTTGGAATAACTTTTCAAATATCAAAAGAATTAGATCACAAGCACTTTTCTCTGTCACAATACTCTAGCTTTTTCTAACATTGACATTTTGCATCATTTTCACGGGAAACCACAAAGGGGGTTATCTAGACCAGTCATAGTTAACTGATACAAACTCAAAACAGAAAGAAGAAAAAAATTATTCGCTTAAAAACTACTTTCATAAATCGACAAAGCCTACAAAGAATAGCCCAGTCTAAAACATTGGAGGAATACCATTTTAATCTAAATATATTTATAAATTATTAAAATCTGCTAAAAAGCGTAACATAAACACTTCAAACGAAATTCACCTTTAATTTTTCCCTTTTTTCTATTTAACTTTCAGAGCACGTATATGAAATGCAAAAAAAAAATAATAATAAACAACCATTAATAGCCAACAAATAAAAATGCGTTGCAACAAAAATACAAAAGACTGGGGATTTGTCTTTAAACTAATACTTTAATTAAGACCTTCTCTCTCGAAACTTTCAACACCAACAAAGAAATGCGTTCATTAAAACTCACAACTTACAAAGAAATTCTTTTTAAGAAAACGAGTGCCGTGAATTCAATTTTAAGAAGACAAACTGAAAGCTTAGGCGAGATAGAAGAGAGAAGGAAAAAAAAAATTGAGAAGATAAAGCCGCTTTAAAACTAACACTCAAAAATCATTGTTTATAAAGTCACAAACAATAGAGATTGGATGCTGGGAACTGAAGCTCCACCTTTTCTTATTTTATGTGAGATTTCTCAGATTCAAAGACAGCACGAGATTCGGTATGAATATTCATGAGGGCAAGGTTATAAAAAAACAGGGCCGGGTACAATGGGTTAAACAAAGTCGCCAAGAAGTAAAAATAAATCGTAACAATAATAAAAAGATATTTGGTTGGATAAAAGTATTTAAAAATCAATTTCCTCGGGAGTAATGATTGTGATGTTTAAATATAAAAAAAAAAGGGATGCTTTATCAAAATAAAGATTCTAACAAGCTTGTTTGATGTGTGTAATTATCTTTAAAATTGGGAAGTTTAAATTAAAAAGTAAAAATAATTTTAAAATATGCATAGAGAAGGTTTATTTATAAGTAGAAAATAATATTAATTATTTTATTTTTTGTTATTGGACAGAAGATTTACTTCTTTATTTAGAAATCCGTCGTTTTGCATTTAAATAGCGTATTAAAAAGAATTATTTAAGGTTTAAAATAAAAATTTAAAACATTGTTAAAATACAAGATTAGGTATTTGTGTATTACACGGTATTAAAGAATTTTTCAGTTTTCAAAAATAAAATGTACTGTACAAAAACGTACTAAGCCATCGTTCTAGGACAGTTAGATATATAAAACCCAAACAAAAACAATCGTATGAAACTGAATTTCTACATATATTTATAGAAGTATAAGAATAATGCAATTCAGAATATTTAGACGAGTACTGTACAAGTTGTAAGAAACAAAAATATTAGAACAGTAAAACATCTTTTGTATACGCACTCAGATAAGGTTACAAAATTATCAAATTCTGGAAATAAAGTAAAATAGTAAGTCAACGTAGGTTATGCAACTAAATAAAAATAATACAACTGACAAGCATTGCATTATTGATTAGTAACAGATACTTGAATAATATTTTAAAAGATTAAAAACTTCATTCGCTTCAAAAATATATAAATTGGAAATAACAATTGACATGTTTCAAGCGCTCAATAACAGATGCCCATTTTCAAGATTTGCCAGGCGTGCATGAGAAAAACCTATAGTGATTTGAAATAAAAAACGCTAAGCTGCCAACGAAAAATGGGAAAAATAAAAGTGAGAAACAAAACTAGAAAAAGCGAACTAGCCGACAGAGAAAAAAAGATGAAAAACAGAACAAGAAAAGCCATCGTGGCTGAGAAATGCAAATCACACTAAAATGCATTTCCACGCGCTAAGAAGAGGTGGTGAGGAACCAATGTTGTTGACAAGGGAATCAGCATTTATGTGAATAAAAGAATATTCCACAAGGGTATCAAGATGAGCAGATGTGAAAGGAATGGAAATAATTTTGGCATTGCCGAAATTGAAGTTATGCCCAAAATTCCAACAACGGGCAGCAATTGATGATTTTTCGAATTCTTGATAAAGGACATATCTATTAAGAGCATCTAATTTGTCCCATATATCCAAGGTCGCACTGACAATAGGTGTGGCTTTAGTTTCTTGGGATTATTTATTTCATATTATTTCATTAGTGATAAGTATTGTGCTATTGATCAACATTAAAATACTTATCAGATACATAGATAGTTAAACATACAAAACCTAAACAAAACAAAAAATCGTAGATGGCAGAAATTTTTCATGGGTATTTATAAAGTCTACAAATAATAAGTTTATGTAGATTTGGGCGAGCACTGAAAAGTTATAAGAATAGAAAATACTGAAATAATACGAAATTATATCATGTCATATCCCTGTTAAGATATGACTTCAAAATTATCAAACTACATAATTTCTGTTAATAAAGCAAAAGAGTTAGTCAACTTAAGTTGTGTAACTATAATAGATACAATTGTATTATTAATAAGTATTGTATTATTAATAAGTATTATATTAATGTATATTTTATTATTAATTAGTATTGTATTATTTATTAGCATTGTGTTATTGATTAGTATTGTACTATTGATAAGAAGTAAATACTTGAACACTATTTAATTAGTGATAAGTATTGTTTTACTGATAAGTATTAAATACGAGATAAGTATCGTATTATTGATAATTACTGTATTCCTGAGAAAGTATTAAAATATTAGACGAGTATTGTATTATTAATATCTATTGTATTACTAATAAGTATTAAAATACTAGAAGAGTATTATGTATAGTATTACTGATAAGTATTAAAATGCTAGAAGAGTATTGTATTATTGATAAGTATTAAAATGCTTATCAATATCTGTTCAAATCTAAGAGTAAAAATAACTTACTTTTTTGTAGAGATGGTAAGGAATGCCGTTCAGGTCCATCCATTTCCCTCTAAAATAAAAATCCGTTTATTAGCTTACAGGTTTTTAATCAAAATATAATTTACTTGACAAAATTAAGACTTAAAAAAGAAATTGATAAAATTATAGCAATAATTGCCCATAAAAATATTAATACTTGCTATTTCTGAATAATTTATGAAAGATAAACTTTTTAACGGACGATAATCTAGAGATGGAATTAGTGTCAAAATGAATTGACTCATTTAAAAATTTTCACGAATCATTAAAGAGGAAAGCGAGATTAAAAACATCGAAACCGTTTAATTGCCAGAAAAAGTGATAGGAAGTGAAATTTAATGTTGTTGATAAAGTTATGGGGATTTAAATAAACCATATTATAGAAGGGCAACAATACAAGGAAACTATTTAAAAAATTGACGAAATTGTAAAACATTGATAAATAAATCCCTACAACATGATTAATTTACATTACTAATACATTTAAACAAAAACATAAGCAGGGACAAACTTAGGAGAAATTTGGGCCCGACTCATCGTATATGAATTTATCGTAAAAAAACTAACACTTCACACACTTTATCGTAAAAACGGATTGTTTACCCATTATTTTATCATAAAAAAGAACCATTCAAAAATTATTTTATTGTAAAAACACATTCACACATTATTTTATAGTAATAACGAATCTTTCATATCTTATTTTATAGTAAATGCAGACTTCTTATACATTATTTTATTATAAAAAAAGAACCACTCACTCATTATTTTCTCGCAAAAATAAGCCCTTAATTTTACTGTAAAAACGGACCCGTCACACAATATTTTCTAGTAAAAACACCCAAAAACGAAATCCCAAACTAAACACCCAAAAGCGAATCCATCATAAATTGTTTTATGGAAAAGGGAACTCTTCACAAAAGGACCGGATGGATCACCAGCTTTTTACAAAATCACAAAAATAGGTCCCTAAAGTTACAGAAATTCATAAAATCACGAGTAGTTTTTTTTTCTTCACAATTTCACAAAAAACAGAAGCTTCATATAAAAAAACTTTTATTAGCCCGTTGAAAGAAAAAACAGCATGTGAACAGTTTCACTTCAAAAAATTCATTAATTCATAATCACTTACCTATGAAAATAAGTAGGTTTCCAAAATAAAATTATCTATATTTGTGACCAATCGTTCAAAATGAAAGGATAATAGAAATAAAAAATCACGAATTAAGTAAACAATTTATTAAGGCAAGATTGATCTACATTTGAAGTGCTTTACAAAAACACATAAACAAATTTTTAATAATAAAAAAAAAGTTCGTCAATTTTTAAAACTAAATTAGTGACTATTCATAAAATTAACACAATATACTTCCAAATTGAATTTTCCAAACAAAAGTTTAAAAAAAATTTCGGGAATTCGATGGAATCAGTAACCATTAATGAATATCCACAAACTTTAATTATCTGCATTGTTGATTAGTGTTGATAATCCAAATTAAATGCATTAAACTTACACAAACAGACGCTGAACGCTGGTACCGAAAATAACGTCGTCTTCCTTTCCATAGTGACCGCATGAATTAAAATCCACTAATTCAATTAACAAATCCACGCAATCATAGATTCAGAAAACCATAACAAAACCACAGTGAAAGATTTCATCCAGACACCGTAACCTGTAGCATCGCTACAAGACCACCGGCCATTCACAGAGCGGCCATTATTAATTCGGATTCTGGAACAAAAGCGAAGCCACCAGCAGAGATTAAGCACTGGCCACTGTTTCAAAACCGAACAGGCTGGGCTTTTTGCATCTGGCCCTTATTCGTATAGATCGATATCTTTTTCAGCTTGCCTTTATGCACGCTCACGTTTTAATTCACTAGTCACGGAAACTGTCACTCAAAAGTCACACAAGACATTGAGTAAGGCTGACTATGGGGTTGCCCACCCCAATCGCGCTCTACGGACTCTGTAATGAGTGGTTGCGCTGATGCCCGCACGAAAGATATAATTGTGTAGGCTAGCGAACATTTCGATGGGAAATAAATACTTTGTAGCACCCAATAATAGTACCAACATCTATGACTGCTTTTTTTCTTCTTCTTTCTTTGAGGCCGAATTCGGAAAAGAATCTTTCGGCAAATTATAAGATGTTTTTGTTGAAGATATATCTTAATTTTGATCTGATCTGAAAGTGAAAAGCGAGATCAGAAGGTGAATTAATGGAACAATCTTTGTTAAAATGAAAATGAAATTGAATATGATATCGGTGAGGGCAATGCACTAACAGAACTTTTTAATTGAAATGAATGATTGCGTTTCTCCATTTGATTGCACTTCTCCCAGAGATTTCCTCGTAATGGTAAGACTGCAATACCATAATTAAAACAGTCGAGATAGTTTAAATCTTTGTACAAGCAATCTTGGAACCGTTAAGCTCCGCAAATAGTTATTTAATAGGGAACTATAACAGGGAAATAGTTTATTAGTTAAGTCTTTGTCAGTTTTAAATCACAGCCCTGATCCTGCTTTTGGATGTTAAGCTCTAATTATGATCTCCGTACTGTCTTTTTCGACTTTTAGTTTGATCTCAGCTCTGGCAATGGGTTCTCATCTTGATTTCGATACGGTCTTTCGGACTTTCCTTCTAGTCCCGGGATCAACAGCTAGACTCTTATCCTGATCCCGGTACCAACAGTTAGACTTTCATTCTGATCCCTGTACCAACAGTTAGATTCTCATCTTGACACTGGAACCAATAGCGAAGACTCATATCCCAGTACCAACAGTTAGACTCTCACGCTGATCCCGGTACCCACAGTTACTTAGACTCTCATACTAATCCCGGTACCAGCAGTTAGACTCTCATATTGATCCCAGTATTAACAGTTAGACTTGCCTTTCAAACTGATCCTGGTTTTGGTAACTAGGCAATGATGCCGCAATGGCAGACTAGTACTCATCCAGATCTGAGCTATGATAGTTGAGCTTGCTTTTTGAGTTCAGATTTAGTAGTTAGGCTCACATTCTGATTTTAACTTGGGCAGTTGCGTTAATATCCTACAGTTTGTTGTTGTTGTTTCTAATCCTTCACAATATAGACTCAGCTATATCAAATCCATGAATCCAACGCTCTGGTTAAGTCACACACCAAAATTGGTGATTAGAGAATGTCCTCCAAAGAAAATTCCAGACAATCAAGAAGCGTTCGGGAGAAGCAGGTTTCCATTGGCATTTCTACATGTTGGGAAGACATTGCGCTCAAATTCGAAAGTTAAGCTTTTCAAATGGTCACTAAGGAATCGTGATACTGCCGTTTGAGTCTATCTATCTCCCTTGAACTCTAGAGCACCTCCAGGCCATGATCTTACGATTGATCGGTTATAGCAATTGATTTCGCTTCATTTGACTTTTTTTTAAAGTAATAGTTATAACGTTTTTAATTATTAAAAATCAAATTATTATTTTTTTATAGACATAATTAATATTAAATTGAGGGTGACGTTTAAACTCATTTTAATGCTTACAAAAATTATCATTTTTAAATGTGTAGCATATTATGTAAAGGAAAAACTGTGAATAATTTTTTTTGAAAAGCAGTATAAAATTACGTAAATTTCCTAGCTTCCTACGGTTCATGTAGCTCGCTTCTTAGAGATCAACTCCAATATCCTTATGATTTTGTCCTTATAACTGTAATTAGGTAATAAGAATGATAAACGCCTAACACATTTTTTTTTCTTTTCTTAAAAAAACAGCCTTTTTGTACCGTGTAATCAAGATTATCTAGCGTATTAAACTCTCTTATTCTGTTGATTCATATCCAGCATACTTACTAATTTATATGTAGCATAATTGCTACCATTAAAAATAAAAAAATAGCTTGGGGTTATATAATAATTTAACAAGAATATGACTCTTTCAAAAAACTCATTTCCAAGCATTATTATTAGTCTCAGTGTAAACTTTGTAACTTTCAGAGTATTTTTAATGAGATGAAATGTCTAAAGACGAATTCTCCAAAAATCAAATAAGAGTAGTTTTTTTTTTGTTAAAGAAAAAAAAAATATAGCATATAATATGATACTTTGAAACATCTTAAAAAAGTATTTATAATTATTACTAAAATATTTTAACATTCCTGATTCCTATAAGTGTTCATGAAAATGTTGCATGATATGAATTTGCATGATTGCATAGGATGGAGACATTTAGGATAATAATAAAAAAAAAACATTCTACAGTGCTAAAAATTAAACTTTATCTAAAAAACAACGTAAGTTTTTAATAAGATTTAATTTCTGATTTAACTATTTAATATTAAGTTGTTTCAAAAGAATACACACCTTTGTTTCTTTTTAATAAACTGTGAAAAAATTTAAATAGAAAGAATTATTATGCACATAACGATAACACACATTTCTAAGTACAAAATATTAATTGATATCTCATCTAAAGAATTTGTAGCACAAGTGCATTTGATCATATATTAAAATCAATGATAACATCTGATATTTTATTGAAGAATTTGTTAGAAAATCTAACAGATATTTTGTCTAAAGAACTTGCAACGAAATCTAATATTAATTCATCTAAATGAATTTGTAATAGTAATACAAATTATAATGTCTGACAAATCCAAAAACATTTTTTAATAAAAATGATAATAAAAATATCTAATATCTCATCCAGGAATAGGTATTGCATATTATATCTGAAATCTCATACAAAAGAAACTGTAAAACAAAACAAAAATCTAATACATCCTCTAAAACACTTGTGATACAACTTATATCTTTTGTGATTTTATCTAAAGAATTAAATAACAATAATATCTTTTATCTCATTTAAAGCATTATGTATTACAAATTATATCTAATGACTAAAGCATTTTTAATACAACGATGATGATTCCACATTAAACAACTTCAAATAACGAGAACAAGTTATTTTACAAAGCAATTTATTTTTGTTTAAAAAGGTAATTTAATAGTCCCAAAATAAATAATCTTTTAAACGGAAGTTACA